AGCATTGCTCAAGGGTAGAGCAGCCCATCCTTTGCCCTAAGCGCCCGAGGAAGCAGTAACTAGGCTTGTCTTCCCCTCCGCAACAATGAAAACCTGATGCTGAAAAGAAACTTTTGACACAGCCCTGCAGTAATAACCATGAGCAACCCCTCCCAGACCTTAGGTCAGTGGAAAATAGGTGGTGGTGACGAAATAACCCCTACCTTTCCAGGCTGTTGGAATTGTCAGAAGATGCCAACTAAAACAGCACATGGTCCAGCATGGCAGCACAACAGTTTTCGCTTCCACTGGCAATGCCAAATCCCAAATCAAAGCACTGGTTTGAGTCCAATCTGCCCCACTTCTGATCCAGCTCCCTACTAATGCAGCAAGGAAGGCTATAGCGAATGGTTCAAATATTTGGGTCCCTGCACCCTCACAGTAGATCCCCTATGGAATTTCAGGTGCAGCCATTTGGGGAGTGAATCAGTGAATAGAAGAAGGGAAGATTTCTCTCTCTCCCTCTGTGTGTGTGTGTGTGTCCCAGCTGTAGACAATTGTCTAGGTTGTCTTGTACCTAGTCAAGTGTTACACTGCTGGAAGAAAAGCAGCCAGTAGCTGCCTGACATTCTTGGCCTAGTTCATTCTAACTCTATGTTAACTATACAAGTGTGGCAGCATAGTTTGTTATTCTTTAATGCTAAATCTGCAAGGGAGAAGAAGCAAGCAGACCACCACCACCACACACTTATCAGAATCCTTAGATCTAAGCGGAGGCCACTAAAGGCTGTTAATGTGGGCAGAGATGCAGCAATGGGCCTTCATATGCCATACCACTTCACCCACTGATGTGAACTAGAACCAGGGCTGGGGAAAAGCCAAATTATGGGGCCTAGAGGACCAACAATGAGAATCTCCCTTGAACAGGCTGCTGTATCCACTGGTGTGCATGTACAGTCGGAGCTGGTGATGGCCCATACGGGGGGGGGTGGCTAAAGGCGGGGGTGGCTAAAGAGCTGCTGTATCAGGGCTCTCTGGACCAGGTCTTATTAAAGAATTGTAATGGGAAGATGTCGGTGGGGGTGGGCATAGCCACTGGTATTGAGTTGATCTCAAGCTCACGAGAGGGATCCATTAGATCAGCTAGAAAGAAAGTCCTGAACCTGAAACAGGCAAGCTCCATACCCCTAATTAGCAGGAAGTAACTACAGAAGTGATGAGTCTGCATTCTTTAATAACTCTGAGAGAGATAGAGTCGGATATTTCTGAAGGAGGGAATGAAATGGGACAGGTATGTAGCTGTTTAGGGTCATGATCTGGAAGTCACATTTCCCTGCTCTTTGTAAATCCCACCCACCTATCCATCAATCAAGTTACCCCCCACCCCAGGACATGCTTCCCCTCGCCTGGGATCTAGGGCAGTATCCTGAAACCACCCTCCTTCCCAAGATCACATCAGGACTGGCAATGGGAAGGGGTGAGCCCTCTCTTCACACAGACACAGAATGTAAGGCAGAAACCTTTCCCCTCTCCTGCCTTGCCCCTCCTGACCCACTTCACCCTCAAACATACCCCATGTATATCTGTGATCTCATCACCTTTTAAATGAACTTAAAATTAGAAAAATACACAAACACTTGGAAGCTAAAAATACACTTCTAAACAATCCAAGAAGCAAGGAGCTATAAAAAAAAAACATGCAAAACACATCAAACTGAATGAAAATGAACATAAGCCTACATTAGTTCATCTTTTGTAGCTGTAAGAAAATATCTATGGCTGGGTACTTGTTTAGTTCACAGTTTTAGAGGATAAAAATCCAATATCTAGAATCTCTATTCAGCATCACATGGCAAAACCATAGAGGGATTCAGGAGAGCAGGCTTGCTCTTTGTTATAAATAATACATTCATTCTGCAAGATCAGCATTAATGCTTTCCTTGAGTCCCATCTTCCTAGGGCATTTACCTACATCACCTGGTTCAGCTCCACCAGGCACCATCTCTTAAAGTTTCTACCACTTCTAAATACCACCACATTGGCCAGTACTTGAGCCCTTGGAGAACAAACCATTCCAAACCATAGCAACAGCATAGTCAAACTTCCGAGACGCATTTAAAATAGTACTGACATGGAAATTTGTAACACCAAGAGTGTACAGGATAAAGCAGAAAAGGCTAGCATCAATGATCTAAACTCCCACCCCATGAGCCTCAAGAAGGGCAAACTAAATCCACAGGAAGAAGAAGGAAGGAAATCATAAAGAGCAGAACTCAGTGAAATTGAAATCAGGAAAGCAATAAGGAAAGTCAATGAAACAACAGGCTCCTTAGAAAAAATCAATAAAATAGAAAATTCACTAGCAAGACTGACAAAGAACTAAGAACTAAAAGAGAGAAGACACAAATTACCATTATCATCAATAAAGTGGGGAGTGTCAGTAAAGAGCCTCCAAATATTGAACAATCATAATGGAATACCAGAAACAGCTCCAAGCACACAAATTTTATTGCTGGGAAGAAATGAACCAATTCCTCAGAAAACACAGGCTATAAAAATTTGCTCAGTATGAAATATATCATTTTGTTAGCTTTGTTTTAAAAAAATGATTTGATTTAGTAATTTTTAAACCCCAAAACAAAACAAAACAAAATCAGAAAAAAAATCTCTTTATCACGATGGTTCCACTGGAAAATCCTACCAAACATTTAAAGAAAACTTAATACTGAGTTAGTACAATCTTTCCTTGACCCCCCCCCCAAAAAAAAAGAAGAGGAAGGAATATTTTCAAAGTTCTCTTATGAAATTAATATTACTCTGATACCAAAACTAAGCAAAGCAGTACCTCCAAAATACAGCTATTCTTCATGAATATTAATCTTAAATCCCTAACAAAATGTTAGCCAACAGAAATCAGCAATATATACCAAGAATTACAAACCATGACCAAATAAAGCAATTCCAGGAATGTGAGACTAATTCATCACTCAACAATCAATCAACATAAACTGTTACCTTAATAGACTCAAGCAAAAATCGCATGAACCTACTAATACTGGCAGAAAAGTAACAAAATCTGCATTAAAAACTCTCAGAAAAATAGGAATAGATTAAACCTACAGCTAATATAGTTATGCTGAAAAACAAAGAGGATTTTTGGGAAAGATGCCTCAAGATCAAGAACAAAACAGAATGTCTGCCCTCACCACTCTTATTGGAAGTTTTAACCAACCCAGTAAAGCGAGAAACAGAAATAAAATGCATATTGACTAGAAAAAATGAAATAAAACCGCATATTCATAAGTGACATGATTGTCTATGTAGAAAATTCCAAGGAATCTATTCCCTTTAAAACAAACCAAAAAAAAAATGCTAAGAATAATATTTGAGTTAAGCAAGGTCACAGAGCAAACATAAACACCAAAGTCCTCTGTATTTATATACATTCCCTATGAATATATGGATGTCAAAATTTACAATTTTCTAGGGGCTACATGATGGCTCAACCCACTAATCCTACTAGAACCTGCATCCCATATGGTCGTCAGTTGTGTCCCAGCTGCTCCATTTCCGATCCAACTCCCTGCTTATGACCTGGGAAAGCAGCAGAGGATGGCTCAGTGCTTGGGAACCCTGGCTCCTGACTCTGGAAGAAATTCCTGGATCCTGGTTCTGGCCTGCTGCTTCCCCAATAAAAATAAATAAATCTTTAAAAATATATTTACTATGTATGATCATTCAAATAAACCTAAGTGTTTAAATGTCAATCGAACAAAATACTCTTGGGGTATAGGATTAATATGCTGGCAACTACAAAATATTAGAGAAATCAGTGAAGACCAAATAAATGGAGATACAACCCAGCACTGAGGAAAGCAGTGTGGGTTAATATGAGAAAATATTTGAAGGAGTGTGGAGTTTTTTTTGCTTACTAAAGATGTGGTTTTACTTATTTGTGTGTTTGCGCACGCGTGTGTGTGTGTGTGTGTGTGTGTGTGTGTGTGTTTGCTTTTGAAAGACAATGTCATCGAGAACGAGACAGAAAGCAGAATCTTTTCATTCCCTATACAGCTCAATGGCAGGGGCTGGGCCGGGTGGAAGCCAGAAGTCAGAACGCAATCCAGATCTCCTGGGAGTGAAAATGACCCACATACTTGGGCCATGTTCCACTACCTTCCTAGAAAATTATCTGGAAGCTGAATCAGAAGTGGAGCTGCCCAACTGAAACCAACAGCAGATGCCAGTTTCAGAGGCAGACGCTTAATCTACTGTACCACAAGCAACTGCTGGCCGGCCTTTTTTCTTTTCTCTAAACATAATTCTTACAGAGTCCAGATAATCAGATCAAAATAAGTTCTTAAGAATTCTTACAGATTCACATTAGTAAAATAATTAATACTAATAATAAGCAGTTTGGTGAACACTGGTTGTGGTGCTTCATGGGCACCCCAGGGGAACCGAACGTGGAGAGTACAGGATCTTCTGGTGGACCCATTCTCTTGACACAAACCAAGAGGCCAGCTTATTTTAGTGCAGGCACTTCATTTGTGTCATTCAGTTGACGGCATAGTACATGTACGTGTCACAATGATCAAACGTGGCACTTCGTTCACGTTCCGGGATCTGAAAATGAAGTAGGCGGGGACAGCCAATGAAAACGGGTAGAAACCCATCTGGGGTTCAAGTCACAGAAGAGTGGAAGAATGCTGTGATATTAGAATTCCATAAACAGAAGACCCAATTCTAAGGAAGGTAGGGAGAGAAAATGCGGGGGCTGTACAGAGAGTGCCCCAACAGCCAATCCTAGCCCCAGGCATGGCCGGATGTGGTCATAGAGAACCAGCGACCAATAGCAGAGAGGGACGTAAAAGAGGTGACGGAAGCCGGCAACTGGGGCAAACAGTCGGCCTTGGGTGGGGACAGGGTAAAGACGTGTTCTCAGTTGTGTGGCGCAGACCCCACCAGAGCCACGGCCCATCCCGCTAACTGCCGCAGAACACCATAGGAGCTGCCGGGGAAATATGGAGTCCTCAAAGAGTGAACGGCAGCGGATCATTCGTCGCCATCGCCACGAGAAGAAAGAGCTTCAAGCTCACATTCAGGCCATGAAAAATAACATCCCTAGAAGCAATAAAATACGAAGAAAGCAGATGCTGCTAGAAGTGGCCCACTTAGAGGCGGAGATAGAACGAAAACACCAGCAGGAGATGCAGGGATTCGATGAGAGCCCTGCCGGCCCCGCCAATGTCGATATGATCACGGAAGACCTGGCCAAGATGGATCTGGAGAACCAGCCACCTTGTGTATCTAGAGCTCAGCGAAGGCGTGAACGAAAGGCGGCCATCGAGCGAGAGCAACGGGAGAGGATCCACATACAGGAGAGGGAGCATATGGCCAGCTACGGTCGTGAAGAGGAAGCGAAGCTGGCCACCATCCTGCTCGCAAAGAATCTGGAGATGAAGTACATCCCAGCCGACGGCCACTGCTTGTACCGCGCTGTGCAGCACCAGCTGCCGGTATTTGTGAGTGTGGCCAGCCTGCGCCGTAGCACTTCAGAATACATGCAACGTCATGTTGACGAGTTCCTGCCATTTTTTAGCAATCCCGACGGCCACACCTGTACCCGCAAAGACTTTCTCAAATACTGCGACGATATCGACAGATGTGCATCCTGGGGAACCCAAATCGAACTGCGAGCCCTGTCGCACATCCTGCAAACACCTATCGAGGTGATCCAGGCCGATTCGCCCGTCATCACTATCGGAGAGGAGTACAACAAGAAGCCTCTCATCCTCGTCTACCTCCGCTACGCCTGCGACATAGGAGAACATTACAATTCTGTGACACCTATTGAGGTCAAAGGCGCAGAAGCCGAAGGCGCCGAAGTAGAAGTCGAAAGCACCGACGCCAACGGTGACGAAGCTATAGGCGCTGCAGCGGCAGATGATGCAGCACCCATGATGCCGCGCTACTTCTAGACTCTTCTAGAAGCTGCTCTTCCAGAAGGAACCTGAGCCGCTACCATATAGCCTCAGTTGGCTCAATGGTTTCATGCTGTTCTCCAAATTTGTTCCCATCCCACCCCCAAATTCCCGCCCCCACCCTCTTCTTTGACATTGACTGGCGAAAGCCAAAAGCCATCGTTTTGTGCTCCTGAATACCATGGCTTTTGCTGTCTATTGACATTCCCCCTTTATGTCAAGTTACCCCAAATAAAATTGGCATTTGTGTGATCTAAGTGCTTTGTAAATGACTGTTGATTTTGTTTTTGTTTTTGCTTTTAAATCTCGAGCTCTACTTTGATTTGTTTTTGAGTTGTTTCCTTTCTGCTGCGCCTTTCTGGCTGCTCAGGAGATGTAACCAGTTCCAAAGAAGAGCTTTGCTCTTGTTTGGTCTTGTTAGCAGAATTTGTGTGGTTTTGCATTCACTGTTCTTTAGATGTTTGCTAGCTTCTTAAGTCATTGCATTTGATAAATAAAGAAGGCAACTCAAGCGTTACATGTAGAAAGCAAATTGAGATCAACCGATAGGTAAGGTTTACTCTGATATGGGAAAGACCTCATCTTAATTCCCTTTATTCAAGTAGTTGATCCATTTCATGATCTCTGAGCCAGCATGAAGCAGACAAACTACGTGATAGGTAGTTCAACTTACTGAAAGCAGTGTAGGTCAGCATGGAGTGGATTTCCTTTATCAAACATATAAAAGACTGTGGCTATCCAGCTAATTGATCCACTTCATGTAAAACAGATGACCTTAGTAACTGTTCTCATTCTCAGAAATGTGTTAAAATGGGGATTTTTAAAAGTAAGTGGTCCACTCCATCTTACTACATCAACAGCTGGCGTGAAGTGAAAACAATGAAAAAATTACACCTCTCTCAATATTTAAGACATGTTGAAATCTAAAATTTGTCAAAAGAATGGTAAAAATTATTTGCAGGGAACATTTTTTTCTAAAATTTAATCCTGTTCCAATATTTGAATGAGGTCATTTAGAATCTTTTTTTTTTTAACTTTTTATACCTTCCAAATGTGCTGAATGTGTAAACACATAAGTCAAAGCCAAAAAAAAAAAAATGCAAGTTGTCTAATAAAAGCAGTTTCCAAAGCCTTCTATTTTTAAGTAATGGAGTTCATACAGAGTTTGTATAGCGGAATCCAGTTTAGCACCTCACTCTGGAGGACCGAGGGAGCGGCAGTGTCCATTGGGGCTTTGGAGGTGGGGCTGGGGGTGAAAGGGAGGTGGGCCTGTCGGTCCACTGGGGGCTGGAGTGTGAAGTGTTTCCCAGGGGAAAGAATTAAGAAGGCACTCTTACTCTGAGGCTGTCCTTAGTTGAAAGCACACCCTGACTCTGTGAAAAGCACCCTGAAATGATTTTTCAGAATATTCTCATTGCTATGTATGAAAAGGCCTCACTTTAAAAATCTGACCAGTTGAGTCCAGCACACAACTGCTCGGTGTACTTATCTGTAGATCTGCTTTTCCAATAAGAATAAATCTAAATGTCTGACTGGTCTAGGGCTATGTGGCCAGAAGGAAAGAAGCATCACCGTGTTTTCTTTTGGGAGTGTTCTCAAAATAAAATTATGGAAGTCCTACCAGATGACTCTGTGTTGATGTGTGTATCAGCTAAGTTTCAGCTTGCTGGCTGGCTGGCTGAGAAGAAGATGACCTGAAGAAAATCTGGCTTAAGGGTACACTGTGCAAAGAGAGCCTGTTATGGTGATAGGCAAGATGTACATGTTGGGATGGAAGGTGGGCGTGCCCCCAGGCTTGGGTGTAGGGGAGGCCAGGCAAGAGAAAGAAGGTGAACTCCAGACAGGGACATGGTTGAGAAGGAAGGGGATGGAAACAGTCCAGGAGGAAGAATAGGGCAGTGCAGGGAGCTGCTGAGGCACAGGACAATGATGAAGGAAGCTTGGCTAGAGAAGGTTCTGAAACCACATGGGGTCTAGGGCCAAAGCCATTGACAAGGGGCTGAAGAGAGACAGGGTAGAGGTTGGCAAAACAGCTTTAGAGGTGCAGAAGGACCTCCACTGAAGTAGGCTGTTTCAGGTGAAGGACGGTCCACCTGCCTGAGGCCAGGGACCTTGATGGACAAGCAGTCCAGCTAAGTAAGGGGTGCAATCTGAGAAAGAAGACCTGGTTGAAGGAAGATGCCTGGCAAGGCCCAGATCTGGGGACAGGACCCAGGCTGGTGAGGGGCTCCTGATGTGGGATGGTGATGCAGACATGGGTCAGGCAGGGGATAACCTTGACAGGCTGAGGAAGAAGATTACGGGGAAAGAGAGAAGAAGCTAGGGCAGGGGGGCCTAGCTGCATAGAGAGGTACAGGCAGGAGGAGGGACATGGCTAGGCATAAGAACCTGCCTGTGGGCCCGGCGTGGTGGCGCGGTGGCGCAGTGGTTAAGGTCCTCTCCTTGCACGCCCGGGATTCCATATGGACGCCGGTTCTAATCCCGACAGCCCCACTTCCCATCCAGCTTCCTGCCTGTGGCCTGGGAAAGCAGTCGAGGACGGCCCAAAGCATTTTTAGACGCTGCACCCGTGTGGGAGACCTGGAAGAGGCTCCTGGCTTTGGATCAGCGTAGCATTGGCCGTTGCGCTCACTTGGGGAGTGAATCATCGGACGGAAGATCTTCCTCTCTGTCTCTCCTCTCTGTATATCCGCCTTTCCAATAAAAATAAAATTAATCTTAAAAAAAAAAAGAACCTTCCTGTGGACGGGACCACCAGGGTGGGAAAGGAGACCCTTGGGAAGGGCATATAAGAATGGGATGGAGCACTGCTTATAGCAGGAGGAGTTGGATGCTCAAAGGGAGATGACCACACTGAGTTAAGAGTGAGAGGGTGAGGAGAGTGTTCAGTAGGGTTCAAGGGTGCAGAAGCTTGGGGAAGGGCACGGGGAGGAGAAGGGAACATAGGCTCTTAAATGAAACCCAGGCTGGAGGGGGAAGGGGCCACTAGACCAAGGAAGGAAATCTGCTGAGGAAGCAGGCTTAAGCTGACAGGAGGACAGGAAGGTTGGGCGGTCAGGGCTGAAGAAGGGGCTCTGATAGGAATATCTGCCAACTTTTTTTGCGGGGGGGCAATTATCTGAAAGGCAAATTCTCAGAGAAAAGGGGAGACAGAGCAAGGACATTTGTTGGTTCTCTCCCAAAACAGAGGCTTCCTCCAGCTCTCCCATGTGGGTGCAGGAGCCGAGGCATTTAGGTCATCTTTGACTGCTTTTGCAGGCATATTAATAGGGAATGAAGCAGCCCATACAAGAACCAGCACACAGATGGGATGCTGGTGTGGCAGACAGCGGCTTTACCTGCAGTACTATCATGCAAACCCTGATTAACAGACTCTTGAATCTTGCCTGCTATTGCTTTGGAAAATCCCCATCAAACGATTTTGTGGGCCTTCTATGAAGTGCAGCCCAGATGCTCCCACCTGTGTAGTAAACAGAGAAGATACTTGAGAGATTGACATAGCTGAGGAAGGAAGCACAGCAAGGAGATGAGGGTTATTTCACAGAGAAATTGCTTTGACAGGGAAAGGTTGTCTGGTTAGAAAGGGGCGTGGGCAGGGGAGGGGGCCAAAAAGAGTTACAAGATAGAAAGAGGACCCTGGAGGGGCGAGATTGAATGTTAAGAGGAAAAAAAAAAAAAGCCAAGCACACTGGCTTCCCTAGGGGAGGAAGGCTTGGCGGGCCTTAGAAACCACCCCATCCTGGAGGCCTGGCTTTTTGGCCCTCAAGGGCACCTGTAGCTGGGCCTCATCCTGTGCTTGGGAAGGGGCTCACACAGCATACCTTCAAGACCCTGGGCTTGGGGGCTGTCCAACCTTGCTGCAGGCATGAACAGCCAAGCACACTGGCCTCCTTGGGGAAGGAAGGCTTGGGGCGCCTTTGAAACTACTCCATCCTGGAGGCCAGGTTTTTTTGGCCCACAGGGGTGCCTGTAGTCAGGTGGTCTGGGCCCCAAAGGTGCAAGCCAAAGCCCCTGGGGCTGCCCAGGGGCACACTCTTATGGTTAGAGTGTCCTGGTTTACAGGGGGATGATGGGATCACACAGGTGGTAGTAGAAGATGACCTTTGGTTTTTATGCCCAGGTTAGCAATTACAGCTGAGGGACTTCTCAGCATGTGTATGTATGTAGGGGACCCACACCAAAGTGGTTTGGAGAGGAGAACAAGATTGGGAGAAGTTGGTCTGTTAGCAGAATCTGTGGGGGGCATTGTGGGCTCACCCCTGTGGAACTGCAGTCTCTGCTGGCTCCTCTTCATACTGAGGATTGGGTCATGCCTTGCTGGGGAGCTAATGAGGTGCCCCAGATGGGTTGGGGTTCCGACTGGTGAGAACAAGAGTAGGATTGAGTGCAACAGGCATGGTTGTACATGGCTACAGATTACACCACTGCGGTTGTGCCCTGGGACTGTGGTGCGACAGATTGCCTTTAACTCCAGCCCCCAGTAGTACTTGTGAAAGCCACTTTGGGTGTAGGCCAGACTAGGTCTTGACTCTCGCTGAACTATGTGAAAGTTGTGTCTCAGTGCGGACCAGATGGTGCTGGGCTACAACAATCAACAACAAGAACCAGAATGGATGTGGTCAGCTGAGCAAGGCCACTGTTCTTACCAGGACAGGCGGGGGACAAAATCAACCTGGGCCAACGACCCACTGGTGTGCACAAGAACTGTCACTGGAAGGAGACTCAGTTCAGGAGCTTGGGAAACTCTTTCAATGGGATGCAGACCCTGCAGGAGAGCTCAAGGACCAAGGCAAAGAGTGGCCCAGGCCATGTCAGTTTACAGTACCTGCTGGCATGTGGGCCAGGGACCTGACCCGCTGAATATGGGTCAGGTCTGGGGACAGACCAGTCTGGCCCAGCACATAACACCCACTGGCAGATCTGAGAACCAGGGCAGGGGCAAGAGGAGCCAGATCAAGCCACAACACCAGCCAGCTCACATTAGTACTAGGACAGCA